CACAATAAGGCCATTTAACACATACTAAATAGTTGTCCACAAGACTTTTGAGTTACTATTCTTGTAGGCTAGAATTTTTACTTCAAAATGAAGTGAAAATCATTCTGACCACTCTTTCACAAACAACAATATAACGATTTAAATTTCTTACGTCAGTTTTTGGGTCAGCACTGCTGTATGCGTGGGAGTGTGAATGGCCATGAATATTAATGTGATTTACACCTGGGAAGACTAAAGACACTCCCCCAATGGCCCATCAAGGTGCTGTGAGGCAGCCTGAACTAAGAATGATTCACTGATGAATAAAAAGTTAAAAAGAACAGCATTTATTCAAAATAGAAATCTTTCCTATGAACGTAAAGACTTAAAGTCATTCCTATCACTTAACACATCCTTTCAAAAAAAAAAAAAAAACATAAAAAGACCAAACTTGTTTTTTTTATAAAAAAAATATGTATTCAAAGAATCCTAAAAAAACTATTACAGGTTTAAAAAAATTAAGCAGCACAACTGTTTCCAACATTGATTTAAAATAAATCATATCAGAATGATTTCTGAAGGCTGATGGTTAGTTAGGTAGCGGTACATCTCACTGATGCTGACATCTGTCCATTTATATTTGCAGCCTTTTGCAGTTGCCTTGGCAGCCTGGGTAATAGACTAACCAAAACTGAACATTTATATATAAAAAATATATTGTATTTAGACAGTATCACATATTTGCATAGGCGTCGATTTCGGTGGGGGCGGTGGGTACGCGTCCCCACCAGATTTCGTCATGAGTCATTTTGTACTCACCACTTTTGGAAACATTGAGGCACGGATGTACCTAATACAAATAAAACATCTCCAGTTAACTAGCAGAGCATTCATTTAGTCCGCTCTTAAATAAGAGATCTAGCGCTAAAATGTTTTGTTTTTGAACTCAAGCTGAGCGCTCGTGTCCGCTGCTATCAGTGTCATGGATACAGTGTTCTTTTGTGGCGGCACGCGCGTAGTCTTCACTCGGACGCGCTCTTCAATCTATCGCCGTTGCGGCGGACACTATTCATTCCGGTGAAATAACAAAATAAAATGCACACAAACGTGTGTCCCTGCTTGATATAGACTGTAACCACTGATGAACATATTCGGTTTTGATGAGAGAAAAAAAAACTATACCGAGGGCGGATTAGAACCCGTAACCTCTGACACGCTTGGCAAAAGATCTGTCACTAGACCACTGAAGTACTCAAGCAAAACTTGCGGATCGATATATTTCACTAAATCATTATAACCTAAGCAGTTATTCAAAAATTTTACACGAGCGTATAGGCCTACACGAATGTTAGGGATATTGTGAGTGAGGTAATATTTCCTATGTCAAAAGCTAGCCAAAACTAGGCAAAATATAGTCTGAAAATTCCTTTGAGCTCTATGATCAGAAAAGGAATTATATAACACTAAACAACTTACTCCGAGCTTGTATCCTCGGCGGGGTCAATTCGTTCTTCAAAATGCAGACGTTCGTCGTCCGAGTTTCAAATTCCTCTGAGGAAAAGGTGAATTTTTCCCCGCTGTCCATAATCCTCTGAAGGAGTAGCGTGCTGCCATCCTCAAAACGCGATGAACTATCAGTGATTCTGAATCTGATGAAGAAACTTCGTGTTGTTATGGCATTGATCGGGGGGCGTGCCGCGTGTGCGATGCATAGATCGCCTATTTACCATGTGAAAAGCTCTGGGGGCGTGGCGACCTCAGCACATTAAAGGTAATGAAGGGAGAACGAAAAAACTGTACCTCTCCTTGGTTTCAAACGGATTACATAAACTGGAAATATATATATTTTTAAAAATAAATTACTTCATTTAAAAGAAGAGAATTTCAGCTTCATAAAGATACATCTCTCATATCTCTGTGACAAGTATTGACAGAGTTACAGTTCATTTTTCGGACGCGTTTCAGAATGGACCTCACTGACAGAGAGAAGGCAAAACGCGCATCATGTTTATTTTTCTTTATTTGACGAAAAGCACAACACTTTGTTTTTATTGTGAGTACCCACAAAAAAATAGACACTTAACAGGATCTAATGATGTACAACACTTATATGTAAGATCAAAATCAACAGAGTAATTTGATTCTCTTTTGCACTGATAAGGAAAAAATCGAGCTCGTCGCGACGGCCGACCCCAGAGGGTTAAGTCTCTCCTCATTCTTTGTGCAAGGCTCCTCATAATGATATCACCTAATAGGGCCATTAGGGGAGGGTCTTTGTCTTTCTCAGGTGTCAAACCATCAATATTAATGGGTGGTTAACGCCTCCCCGCATAAAGCTTTCTTACACAAAACATGTCTTACAAATTTTAAATCAATATATTGTCTTATCTGAATGAGTAGTCAGGATAGTTTTCACATAGTTTTGGAGCAAATATTCTAGGTTATGTGATATTATTTCTTCACAAGACTTTTGAAAATTGTTAGTATGGGTTTCATGACCTTATTTCAGTGACAATGTTTTTTAGATTTTTCACAAACCACGCATAAACGTCATTATCTCAAAACTAAAAACTTTTACATACATGCTGCTGAAATATTACTGTAGCAGAGTTTGTGCTGAATACAGTGTAATCAGACTCTAGCCATGAAAATGTCACAAGTATCAGAAAAAAGCATAAATGTCAGAGCATGTCAGAACACCTCCAGGGCCCAGAAAACACCTCAGACCCCCGAGGGTTAAGGTCGCCTGGGACATGAGTGGCTCACAGTGACTTCAGTTGCTACTGACTCCACAGGAGGAGATGGTGGGCGAGTTGGGACATGCGACTAGAGCAGATACCACCATGGCGATTTACATACGCCACCATTGCCACATTGTCCATTCGGATCAACACATGCTTGCCATGGATCAATAGCCGAAACCTTCTCAAGGCTAGCAGCATAGCCAACAACTCAAGGCCTCAAGGCAGTTGATGTGCCAGTGCAGTCGGGGACCTGTCCAGGTTCCTAAGGCTGCATGCCCGTTGCATTCAGCACACCAGCCTGTCTTGAAAGAGTCTATTCTGACGACAACACGTCTGGACACTTATTCTAAGTGAACTCCCACCCGTAGTAACGCAAGGTTTGTCCAAGGACTTAAGGTACGGCGACAGATCGACGTGATGGTCACTCGATGTGTGCATCTCGTGACTCGAGCATGAAGCCAATGCTGAAGTGGTTTCATATGCATCAACCCAAGTGGCGTTACTGCGACTGAGGATGTCATATGCCACAGGAGCCTCTGAAAATATTTCAGTGGTACCGCTGTCTTGCACTTGAACAGGTTTAAGCAGTTCAGTACTGACCGAGCATAGTCTTGTTAGAGATGTGCTAATTTCGCCGAATGCAGTTCCTGCAACAATCCTGGCTCAGAACTACCCTCATGCAAATCTTTTAGTGCCCAGCAGTACTGCAAGGCTCCGCCGTTAGAGACGGAGTTAACTTGCATGCCATAGAAGAGAGTCTGGGACGATTCTGCCAGGTTGACAGTTAATCCTAATCTGGAGCCCTGAATAATAAATTAGGCTCGCCATAGGACGAACCGCCTAACCTAATCCATGAGCTCAACTAGGAGAGATGAGCGTGCTGAGGAATAGAAGGTCCGTGGGGACACACCCGGCAGAAATGCATCCATTGGTACCCTCAGATCACACGAAGTGCTCGCTGCCGAGGCCTCGTACCTGGAGGTAGAAGGACCAGGACGCAGTGAGAGCATGAACCATCCACAAAAGCTGCTCCAGCATGGGCATGCAGCAGCGATAGGGCTGTTTTAATGGAGACAAGTGTCGACCACATCCAGAAATACACAAATGCGAAAAAGCATCTTTAAAAAGACATTTTTGTCCACATTTACTCTTTTAGAGAAAATTTCTGTTTTATGGAAAAATTCTCTTGCTAGAGAATCTTTTTTGGAAATGTCTCTTTTTAGTTGCTCGTTGAAGCACCCAGGCGAACTTTTTTGCACTAAACTGTGTGTGTGGAAGAGAGAATCGCTGAAATGCGCCATACAGAAATACAACGAAGCTTTTAGGCAGAGGTGAGTGGAGAGAGAATCACAGATACATCTTCTCAGCTCCGAAAAATAAATCTGAATGAGTGGAGCACGCCAGCCTCCTTTTATACCCGTATAGCCCTCCAGGGGAGTGGCTGGCAAGCAAATTCCCCTCACCAATTCTCATTGGCCTTTTCTGAAGTATCAGAGGTGTTTGGGGCTCCCAAGTGCAACCCCTAGTGTTAGTCTCGACGTCAACGTCAAAGTGGCTGACAGATAGGGAACAGTTATTTTAAACTGTAATTATATTACACAATATTACTGTTTTTACTATATTTTTGATTAAATACAAGTGGCCTTGGTGAGCATAAAAGACTTATTTCAAAAACACAATATATATAAATATATATATATATATACTGTATATATATATATAATATATATATATGTGAAATAAAGCTTAATGTAGTTGCAGAGAAAAAACATGAGACTATATGAGACATCACGTTAAGAAAGAAAGAAAGAAAGAAAGAAAGAAAGAAAGAAAGAAAGAAAGAAAGAGAAAGAAAGAAAGAGAGAAAGAAAGAAAGAAAGAAAGAAAGAAAGAAAGAAAGAAAGAAAGAAAGAAAGAAAGAAAGAAAGAAAGAAAGAAAGAAAGAAAGAAAGAAAGAAAGAAAGAAAAAAAAACACGTTATTAGCAAGCAGGGAGATAATGGTAAATTGGAAGCTGATAGAAAGGATTGAGCCTTGGAGTCACACTGATTGATACCAGGCTTTAGTAAAGACTGAGGATCAGTCTCATCTTTAATCTTAAAATGTCAAACACAGGGATCTTGTGGGGAAATCTGATCCCGGTTCACCTTTCCCTTATAAGGGATGAGGGGGCAAGACCAATGCATAGAGAAGATAAAGGAAGCATAAGACATGGAGTGGCACCCAGAAATGCTGACAGGGGGAGGATAGTTATATCGCAAAATTCAAGATGGCTAACCTTAACAATGTTCTCTCCTATCTGCCCATTGTTACGCAAGCAGTCCAGACAGATGGCTATCTGAGTATCACTCCTGTGGTAGTCCCCATCACCTTTATCATCATCCTCTTCATCTACTCGGGCCTTCTTGCATATAGGGCCATCCTCTGGAAAAAGACAAAACAGTGGTGCTCATGCTAAAGGATTGCCATTTAAATCATTTAATGAAGGTTATGAACTGTTGTTTTATCTACTTTTCACAAATATGTTCTCTTAAATACCTGTACTGTTGCTTTTTTATTGAATTAAATTGAGCTAATGATACTATTGTCTTTTATAGAGCTGCTTTACAGCTGAAATTTAATTTGTTTCATAATTGATGCATTTTTCAACATCAGCACTGTTATTTTCTTTTTTATTACTGTGAAGCTGTTTTGAAACAATCTGTATTGTATAAAGCTCTATATAAATACATTATTTTAAATTTATTTACTTTTTTTACTCCCAAATATTGTTAAAATACAAAATCCCTGTATCCACCAATATACACATCTTATTGAAGATTTCCTTGAGAAAAAACTCAACAGACTTCATATGGATTTCTTGCAAAAATTTCATTTAAAAAAAGTGCTACATTATGTGCTTCTTCGACAATGTGGGGCACAAAAGCAAAACATTTCAGACAAAGCTGAATAGATATGCTAATCCAAAGCAGCATCTGCATCTTTTCTCAGATTTTCTTTTATATGAGATAGATAATATTCAAAACAATGTTCTTGGGGAAATTATAAATGTGGTAATTATCTCATCATTAAGAACTATTTGCAGCTGCAAACACTTACAAGTTACCTTGGAGACTCCAACTATTATTAAAATGTCCTTCATTTTGGCTCATACAGAGCACAAGGACTGTAGATTATTGTCGAATTTTCAGCAGCCATTACTCCAGTCAGTGTCACATGCTCCTTAAAAAATTATTGTAATGTGCTGATTTGGTGCTAAAGAAACATTTCTTACTAATGTTGAAAACAAAATGTATAATTAAATTAACAATTTTGTGGAAAGCAAAACTGTTTTTAACATAGCTAACAATTAGAAGCATTGTTAATAATTGAGAACCAATAATGATTGATAATAAATAAAAAAATATTAGAATAATTTCTGAAGGATTATGTGGCACTGAAGACTGCACTGAAGTAATGGCTTCTGAAAATTCAGCTTTGCCATGAATAAATTACATTCTAAAATAAATTAAAATAAAAAAACTGTTATTATTTTAAATAATAATAAATAAATAAATAAATAAATGCAGCCTTGGTAAGCATAGTGATGGTAGTGTAAATAACTAAACAGTTACTCATATCTTTGAGCGCAATTAAACAGTCTGAATGTGTCTAAATTTGACAGTACATACAGTATGTCACACTTTCTGCAACGTCATATAACCATTAAGGTCTAACAGTTTAAAATTTTCTGTGCTCATCTTTAAAGTTGTAACTGTATAAAATAGCAGTACAGAGCGATTCTGTGGTTCCCTCTGGAGTCAAAGAAGCAGAGAGAGAGACATAGATTGAGGACACCTATACTGATGACTCACATCATTCTACCACCTGTGAGTGTAGGGATAGGGAACAAAAGTTATACCAAAAGTCTGATGAAAGAAGTTTAAATGCTGAATACAGCAAAGTAGCCTGTACCATGAGGTCACATTGGACTGATTCATAGCTATGAGAACCTAATGTGTTGGATTAAAGGGATAGTTCAGCCAAAAATGAAACTTTTGGAAAACATTTACTGACCCTCATGCTGTTTCAAATCCATAACACTTTCTTTCTTCTGCAAACCACAAAAGATGTTATGCAGACTTTTCACGCTGCTCTTTTCCATACAATGAAAATGAAGTGGCCAGGAGCTGTTAAGCTCCTAAAAACGACAATATGCAGCATAAATGTACCATAAAACTAGTCCATACAACTTGTGTGCTGTATTCTAAGGCTGCAACACAAAATCGTATACTTTCCTACTGCATAGTAGGCGAAAAATAGTTTGTGAATTAAGTAGTATATTAGAATTTACAGTATTCATAAAACAGTAGGCAAAAGGTTCCCAGGGGAACTACTACTATCTGCAAAATTTTGAAGTGCGCATCCAATGCATACTTTTGACAATCCCATGAGGCCATGGGAGAGGATTTGTGAATGACAGTGAAGTGACACAACTGACGCTGGTAGGTCACATGGCAATGACAAGACAATATGTGATTTCTGATGCAGCCTAAGTCATCTGAAGTCGTACAAATTCTATTTGGGCTATTTAATGGTGCTTTTTGTCCTTTTCAGAGCTTGACATCTCATTGTCACCATTCACTTTCATTGTATGAAACATCAGTGTCAACATTCTGCTAAAATTCTCTCACATTTCATTCAGGTCTGGAATGACAACAGAGTGTGAATGAATGACAACAAATGAATGAAAGAAAAAATTCAGATGAATTATCCCTTTAAAATAGAGAAGCTCTGTGGTAACATGGCTATCAGGTGAGTGCAGATAATTTGTGAGTCATTTTACCATTAGAATTTTCTTTCGATTTGTTTCTTCTCCAAAATTCAACCTCTTGCTGCTGTTCCTCTGGAAGGAAAATGAAAGGCAGGGAAAAGGTTAAATAAATGCCAGTTGATATTTGGTATTTGTTATATATATATATATATATATATATATATATATATATATATATATATAACACACAAGTTACTTAAAATGGCTCAGTAAAATACATACTTTCTCTAAGACCGGGCACAAGTTTGAATATGACTTCTTCAAGAGTGTTGTCCAGCCTTTGGAGAAAAGAAATGTGAGCTACCAGAACACATGATGACAGCCATATTTTCCCTGTCCCATCTGTTAGCAAGTTCAGGCTAATGCTGCTCTAGATCTTGTTATCATGTTATCATTCTGTCTGGTGTTGAGGTGGAGATGCATCACTGGTGTGGAAAGGCAATCCTGCGTTGGGTCATTCTCACAGCTGACACTCTAGCTTCAGAACAATCCGGCTGTTGCCTAGAATGCCTCCCAACCAGGATGTGAAATCAAGTAGATTAATCTGATTAAACCTTATCATGGTTTGTATTGTGGTGTGATCTACAATCTACAGACCACTTGAAACAGATTTTCTGAAGAGGTTTTGTCTTAGTAGCAGCATATTATGGATCAGTGTGGTTTACCTTAACATCTCCAAGGGATTCGTTTCATGAACCTGGATACCACATTTTGGGCAATCATTGCTGTCCTCAAAATGCTGGACTATACAGCTTTTGCAAACTATTCAGAAACAAGAAAACAGAAGAAATGATTCTTAAAAAACTGAATGCACAAATAATGTTACCTGTTTAATGAACATTTAAAACGAGTCAAAATAAAATTAAAGCAGCTGTAGCCTATCTGTGCAGTGAACATAATGATGGGCTCTAAACACACTCTATGTCTTCCATGGTGGTATTTGTGGTTTCTAGGATTTTATCCCACAATCTCTTGCATCCCCTTTTACATTTCACAATTGAAATTCTGCACGTTGTTCATAAGTACATATACCTAACTTTTTTATGGATGTAATAAAGTGTGACCAAAAACACCAATCACATTCCACCAGCAACGAACATACCTTATTTCTCTGTGATAGTCACTGGGGGATAGTCACTGCCCACACTGATATTGATACAAGACACAATCAGGTCATCACTGTGTGGAATTATTGGTTGGGTACAGGGCTAAAATATAGTGCATAGTCCAAACAAATGCATAGCGCATTCAAAATATGGAATTCTTGTTATGGCATTAATGAACATTATATAAAAGAAAAAAATAAATAAAGCAGAAATCAGAAACGGACTCAATCAAGAATATTATATAGTGAAAATATTATGAGTGAAAATAGCTTATGCATTGAGGAGAATAACGGTGGTCATGGTGACTGATCAACAGATGACTGTGACGGTCATGGATTTTAAAAGAGTGGGAATATTCACATCTAGTGTGCTTGTTACTTGGGCGATGCAAGGAAGAGGAGAGACTGAATCCAAATGCAAGCAGAAATTTAATAAAACAAAAGATAACACAAAATGAGGCCTAAATCAAAACCAGGAACATGAAACATGATTCAAAAAGCACTGAAACACAGGGGTATATACAGTATATACACAGTACCGAGCAGGGAACACCTGAGACTGATTCATCTCTTAAGAAGCAAACAAGGGCTGCGTTCCACTCAACTTTTAGACACGCACTTGTGAACTTCCCTAAGCACTTCCCCTCGGGGGAATCCCTGCCATGATTTTGAAGTGTGTTCCACTTCGTGAAGTGGATGAGGGAGGTTTATATGGACAGGCCCTCGTCCCCTCGATTTTGACAGAGTCTACTCCGATGTACACTTCAAGCGGCTCTATATTTCTATATCCACAATTCAGCTTGATTGTGACGTCACAGCAGATCGCGCTTAACTGTGTGATTAAGCGTATGATATATAAATTATTTTGAGAATTAATCGCATAATATATTAATTATGTTGAGATTTAATTGCATAATACTTGTAGCTGCCCTATGTTCACTGTCAAAGTTTATACTATCGATGTTTTTTTTATTTGTGTAATTTTGTTTTTCTCCAACAGCTCATATACCTATAGGATTTTATATATTTTTTCCAAAAACTTATATGCATATAGAATGGTGCATAAAACAAATTCATAGGTAAAAAAGGGGATTAAATAATAAATCAGCTCTATAGTGAATTCCAAGTGATCAAGGGTTTAGTGCTTTCCATTTAAACCTTATGCACGAGTTCCGCCAGTAGTGGGCACTCGTGCAACGTAAGCAATGATCGTGACAGTGCTGTGCAAATATGATGCAAAAAAGGAAAGTAGGTCCTTTACACCTGACAATTAAATGACAATTAATTAACACTAAATCCTGATTTTCACATACTCTCTGTGGAAATTCATAGGTGCCTAATCAAGCATTATGAAATTAAATGTCCCTAATCAAATAATATTGAACATTAACAATAGCAGTTGTGTGATTTATTAGCCTAAAACACATAGAACAAACGCTGTGTTGTATGTATTAGCGTGATAGGTAATACAGTAGAGTTTAATTGGACACAGCTTTATCAGATATATGACAATAAATCATATGGAAAATGCTTTCTTCCTCATTCTGTAAGCCTAACAATGCTTGTGTATCTGCATTTTATTATTATTATTATTATTTCATTATTTGCATTTAGCGCTGCTTTTATCACCCGCTGTCCATCAAGCAATCAGAACCGACCATTTTGGGGTCAGGGCCCATTAATTGAGAAATCACGAATAAACATTTCACTAAACTCTCACAAAAGCCCTATTCGCACTGGATTAGTATTACCTGGAGATCTCTAGTCGTTTGTAATAATTGCGGAGGTTGTCTGTGATCTTAATCCCGTGCGAATCAACCATATCTGTAATTCGTAAAGTAAAAATTTTCCCGCAAATGACCTGCCATATTTCGCCGAACACTGAGGTCCTATGATAATATTAGTCCCGTGCGAATCGGCATCTCAGTGATTTGGCGGGGTCAGATATATAATTTTTTTCAAGGTATTTGTTTCCTGTGCGGCTTTTTATCCATCTTTCGCGAAGAATGGAGGCTGTGTTGGAGTGTTTTGATAGTATTTTGGGTGCTGGGTCATATCGCTATACCTACACCATACAACTATACAATTTGCAGAAAGAGAAAGTTGAAAACCATCAGAAGAGCAAAAATAATGATTAGATGGAGATGGATGACATGTATAGCAGCATGCGGTAAAGAACATTCTTCAGTTTATGATATATCATATAGCTAGACTAGACCTATAATGACAAGACATTTCCAAGCAATAGCCTATTGACATCATGTCCGGGAGAAGTCAGTAAAATCACAGGCTTCACTTATCCCATGCGAATGCGCCACACGAAATTCAGATGTGGGTGGTCAATTTCTAAATCACACGAGGTCCCTATAATACTTATCCAATGTGAATAGGGCTAAAGACTGTAGGTACTCACAGGTGTGCAGGCACTCTGTCACAGTGGTTGGCTTGATCAGGTACCCTTTACAGACATAACAGGTGATGAAATGGTTGAAGTCCTTCACCAGGTGATTTCTATGTGATGTCATTGTCAAGTTACCAAAGTGGGGATGGAGGGAAAACAGATGGTGTAAGGATGAAGGTAGAAGGAAGATTTAACCACTCCGTGGCTCAACTGCTGAAGGGCCCCTGGCCTTCTCGTCCTTCATGACATCAAGGGTAATTAAACATGCCTTTTAGACAGACCTGTGGATGTGGATTCAACAATTAGACTTTGAAACAAAAATGTGATATCTTTTTTAAAATACTTTTTTTTTTTTTTTTTTTTTACTTTTATTGCTTTGGAACATTATATCTTTATGTGCAACATTTTAGTTTGTTAAAGGTGAATTCAGTAAGGCTGAATCCAAAAGTCGCAAACTCTCTGAGTAGGAACTTCTTTTGAAAAAGCCCTTATTTTGTGACTGTGAAAAGTATATGAATTTGCATAGTAGGCCTATAAATGTAATCCGGATGTACTAGCCTACATTCATCATGTTGTCGTTTTTATAGTCATGTGATCTAACAGCGTCAGTTGCATCACTTCGCTGCCATTCACAAATCCTCTTCTGTGGCCTCATGGGACAGTAAAGTGTCCATTATATTCAGAATCTGGAAGTAGGAAGTCATCCAAGGTACTTTTCACCTACTGTTTTATGAATTATGTGAATTCTGAAATACTACTCTTTTCACATACTGTTTTTTACTATGTTTTGTATGTAGTAGGGCAGTATGTGATTTTGGGTGGATTGATTTCATAGACAGTATAAGAAGTGGACAGAGCCATCTCATTGGAACTCAGTTGAGACAGTTGAAGCCCATTTTTAGCGATTTTTGAGCACTTCCATTCCTGACGCGCAGACTCAAACCGACTCAAACTAAGCTTGATGACGTGAGCAACCTGTCTGACAGACGTAAATCTTCTAGTAGCTGTGACGTAAATCTTCTAGTAGCTGTGCGTGAAAATTGCCAACGTTAAAGTCCCCGTGAACCGGAAGTTGCAAACGACTTTTCTCCAGTGTTGTGACGTATTTCCGAGAGAAACGGAATACTAAATGAGGCAAAATAGTGGGCCTGGCTTTTTTTCCACCTAGCACCTGATTGGATCTAGAAAAGTAGGTGTTTTCATTTAGCCTGTCTACTGTCAGTTGGAGGGGCGTGGTTACGGATGTTAAGCAGACACCCAAACCGTAAAGCCTACGTCATCGGGCAAGGTCCTCCAATGCAGAGGGGAGGGGCATTTTCAAAATTTGATTAAAGATTACGAAGCCAAAAAAATTTTTTGTGTGGATTGACTTGCATGGATGAATTGTTCACCACAAAACGATCAATTTAGGCAAACAAAGTAAGTATGGTCAATTTTGATTTCATGGGGACTTTAATCTTGCAGAGACGGGGAACTTGAGCAAAGAGTTCTTTGGCGTGAGTGAGCAGGAGTAAGTATTCCGTTGCTTTTATGGACTCATTATCTATGGGCTTCTCCCTTGACGGGACGTCCCCCCGATTGCCTGCGAGCTTCTCCTCCTGTCTGTACGGTAATTTCTGTACAGCGCGACAGAGAGTCGAGTGGTTATGACGCAATTGTTAGCCTATTTTTACAAAAACTGTTTCTACGGGGCCATAATGTAACATAGAAGGTAATGGAGCCCTTTATACATTGTCGTGTTTCTTTAGAAATAAATAATGGACAAATGGAGTCTTTAAACGCCTCATATGTAAAGTTATTTGCTGTCAAAGTGACGCCAAAATGAATGGGAGTCAATGGAAATGCTAACGCAAGTGAAGTTCTGCTACAAGATGGCGGCACCCGGCCGGCTTCAACTTCCGGTCGATGGATTACCCCCTTGATTGATTTACACTCACTCTTATTTATGCCAAAAGTACCAGTGGTTTTGGATTTTGTACTGACACCTACTGGCCTACTGAAGTATGTTTACTAACTGCACACAGAAGCTTTCCATCTATTTTTTTTCTGTCTTATACTACTACTACTCCTCCTAGGCTACAACACATTAATATAATGGACATTCCCCAATTCACTTCTATATTTTCCTATGGTTCATCCTTGATCGGTAGTGTGAGAGCTGCTTGCTTGGACATTTATTTTTCTACTCTTACTCATTGTGTTTAGGCCGGTTCATCGCACATATACTGATCCATACCACCTCTCTGGACTGTCTCTGCCTTCATTAAGTTGTTAAGTAGGCCTATCTATATTGTGTTTGTTGTTATATTGTCTGGTTTGCATGTTTTTATTAGACACTCTTTTATCTTTATGCTTTGCACTGACTAAAACCGCAATATAAAGTTAATATATGATTAATTATTATCCATAATTCTGAGTGCAACTTTTAATGTTTGAGAAACTGAATGGCTTACATTTTGAGCAGTCTACAGGTGCATCATCACACATGCGAATCAAGCCCCGCCTACTGCTTCAAAACGAAACCATCGGGTTAAACTCAAAGTACAGAGGGGCTTCAAAAAATGCATTAAATAAAAGTCTAACTGCGTTTACAAAAAGTCGTGTATAAAGTGGGGAACTCGTGTTATTTTGTAATAATAGCCATCAACCGACACAAAATGTGGGCCTGTGAACGTTGTATTTTGTCCTATTCGTTTGACGCCCCATATATTATGTTGGGATCAGACATATGAAAGGTTTTGACAAAAAGATTCAATACGGGTTTGTCATATAGCCTATAGGCTACTCCAAAATTAATCCCCAGTTAATCCTCATTAGCTACGTCGCTTCTCATGACATCTTCACGACAGTAAGTGTTTTTTTAAAGTCTACTGTCAACAACTAGTCGGTTTATCCTCACTTGGCCACCGTCAGTGTCATTCTCTGCGTCATCTTCCTGTAAAAACCCTGCGCTGCGTTACGTCGATAACGAATAATGAGCGATCAGTGCTGCACTCGTTTTAACTTGCTGCCATTTGTACAAGTGTCACTTTCCGCAAGCGAGAGGCGAGCGTATTTATTATCGCTCACCAGTGCGCACTAAATAACCAACTCTACCCTGACAACTAGTATCCTACAGAGACACAGACATGCTGACGAACTTGATATATGACACGAGACCGCATTCATCCCACCCGAAACTTTACGATGAAGGGAGAGCGTGAAAACGACACGCAGCTGCAGTCAGACAGTAGCGACCATCTCTTACCTTCTATGATGGGTCCATGTCGATGATGCGCATTGATTTTTACAAACAGGCTTGACCGAATTTGGGCTATTGAAAGTGATGGTTGTAGTAGCGGCACGGAATACGGAACTGCTTTCATTTGAGATGTTATGGGGAAGGGGGCGGAGGACTTTCCAGTTCTTGTTTACGCATTGCTGTTTTATTCATTCCATGGGAGATTGTCTCTGATTGGACACAAGCTAGGGCGCAGCCAATTACCAGCTAGTACAGTAACAGTTTAGAAAACTTTAGAACCAGTTTATCAATGAAGACAGACATGTGGCAGCCTTGTCAAGCTGGTGGATTCGTTATTACTGCATTACTAAGACCTGTACAAGGCGCTACCTGCTATTATAACAAGGCAGGTACCTGCCAGTTCATGTAAGACTGGTTTGCATTTGCTAATAAGGAGAGGCATAAGAAATGTTTTGACATGTCCTCCTCAACCCCCCTAAATTTCCCTTTATTTATTTTTCACAGCATCACATGAATGAAGAAAGATATTTTAGGTAAACATATGGGATGAGTAAAACAAATTTAAACTCTCACAAAACAAAAATAGGCTATACAAATTAGTGTTCAGTGTGCACATCACTGCATGCTCAGATGTTACATTTGTGTGACAACAAGGAACTATCACCGAAAGAACTCATCGAAATGTGGCTGTTGTAAAATTCCTACAGCTGATGGCAATAGAAAATATTGCACAAGAAAGGCAAGAAGCACTTCACTGCATAAAAAAGTGGACTCTGATCATAATGGAACTGCAAATGTGAAGATGAATTTAATTCCTAAATTAACACTATATGACAATTAGGACTGCATGTAAAATGCACTGAGAATAACTATTTTAAAACTATGATGAGCAGGATTTACACAGTGGAGAGTCCTTAATAAATAGGTATGACAATGAATAATCATCTACGATCTATTCCACTTAATTAAACATATTTAATGCAAACTTATTTTTAAAATCCTAACTCCTAATCGTAATGACGGACCCGGACCTGGAAAATTAAGTAAACTATGTAAATTTTACTTAATTAAGTAAAATTAAGTAAACAAGCTGTAAAAAAGTTTTCAAGAAACTGTGCATAACTGTTCTGTTCTTTCTAACTACAACTTGTTGGCAGACTGGTGTAGAGAAAGTTCTCTGAATCCCTCTCTCATTAGGAGGCATACCACACATTCCAGTCCCACTGCTGTCTGCTCAATCAGCACCTCACAACAGTCACACTGTGAAAACACAATTACAACCATCAGACAGCACTAATACGTACATATCTGTTGCATGAAAGACTTGGCCTATACCTGAGAAATCTAAAGCACACTATAAAATGCAGAAATGATCGTCTTACTTTACAGTATATTGTATAGAAGAACACTTTTCGAGTACAAAAGAGGACCTGAAAATGAATGAATGAATGAATGAATGTAACTGGGTTGAATGCAAAAATGTGACACTGGTAAATATGAATCTCAAGTCAATATATTGTCTAAATTTTGAGATTGTGGTATAATTTTAATTGCTGAAACTGGGAAAGGCCAAAAACACAATTTTAAGGGAGCAAATGAGAATGTCTCAAACTGATTAAATGCATCAAGTCCACTCACATTTGGTCTTCCTCTTACTCTTAGGTGTGATACACACTTTTCCTTTATGGGGGCATACTTGGATTTCACAAGGATATAATAAATGCATTATTAAAAATAAACATAAACAATATAAATGTAACTATTCAATATTTATTGCGTGAAAATTATTTAATTTGCACAAATTGTAAATTACAACTGTCTGGTGTCTTTTCCGCCGCAAGCAACAATTTAGCATGCTTTTAAGTTTTTTTTAAAAGGTTCATGTACTTGTTTACAGTGTTTTTAAAGACAAAGAAAAATATTGAAATATTTTTATTCTGTCATTTCTAGTCAAGATCTAATTTTCTTTCAAATTATACAAAAAGTGAATATTATTTAATGCAAAACAATTATTTAATTGTATTTACAGTATAGAATACTAGCTATGAAATTAGCCACAGAAATTGTTAAACAATACATAATGAAATTGATGTAATGAAAACATATCAAAATTGTCCTGTTATGTCCACTATTGGAGATAATTATCAGATACATTAAATAAGCTAGCAAGAGTGTGAAATAATATTTTCACCTGTTTATGAACAGGATCATCTATATTCACAAGCTGCAGTCTCTGTGGTCCCCGCTCTCCTGCCTTCAAGGGTCTCAGGTGTTTAATGCAAGAGGTTCATGACCTGTTGCTCTGCCAATTACTCAAATGCTCAACTGTAATATGACTGCTAAAAATGTCTGGCATCAACATTGAATAATATTTTATTTGACATTAAGCATCACTTAATGTGATGAAAGATTTGAAAACATGCCTTGCATACAGTAACTCTAATGTATAAACATGTATCAGCATAAGGTTCATATTTCATATTCCATATTAATATTGCTCAAGGTATGCTGTACCAGAGCTGGGTGGTGACAAGTTCAACACACAAACGTGCCATAGTAGATAAATCAATCAGAGTGTGCACCTGACTGAAAACTCAAAGCATGAAGTTAATGTGATACATGCCTTCAGATTAGAGGAACACTAATTTTTTTTTTTTTTTTTTTTTTAAAACATGTTTAGATATTTTTATGGAAATACAGTAAAAAACACTGTTTAAAATGAGAAAAGATTAAAAAAAAAAGATTAAAGATGACAATAAAATCACATGGTTTAAGAAAAAGTCTACAATGGTAATGTGCAAAGCCAAAGATGATTTTAAGTGGTCTCTTTACTGAAAAACTGTGTACAGCATTGCGTGTGCGTGTCAGACCTCAGGTCATTAAAGAGCAGGTAGAGGCTGTTACACGGTCCAGAAATGGTTGCTATAGGTATTCAGGCAACGTGCTAAGTTACAGATCATCTTTTACAAGCATTTTAATAACACGCTGAGAATGAGGACAGATAAAAAAAAACAAGACGGAAGCTTCACTTCACATATCAGATATCCTAGGCCTACTGACCTATGGCCTAAATACATCAACAAAATACATAGTGTAAATGTAGAAGTCTCATTTTTATCTGATTGGATTGATTCCCTTATCAATGAAACTTCATCTCGATTTCAACTTTTTTTATCTGCAAATGTTTTATCTGCAAAATTAACGTGTAAATATTTGAATGTACATAAAAAGATTCAACAACTGAGACTTAAACAGAACAAACTTCACAGATCTCTTCCACGTTTTTCTGAGTTATTGTATTGTAAACTTGATTGGCTACCACCTGTAAACATTTGGTGTCTTAAGGACTGTTCAACTGGTGAATAATTGTTAATGGTTCATTGAATAAGCATCAGAAACATTGCTTAAACCCTTCCCAATAAAGATCTGTGAAGTCCTGCCCTCAGGCCAGTAAAAACATCAGAGAAGAGATACATACCATTATTTTGATTAAAGATTATGAGGGCTCATGATTTAAAAAGAAAAACGATTTCCATGGATAAATCATTTATAATAGAAAAGATGTGCAATTTTCCATAAAAAATAAGAATCATCCATTTTGATTTCATTGTGATTTTAATGATACAGATACAGAAGCAGTGGTGAGAAAATTCAGTTCACAATTCACAGATGTTTGATTCGATTTAAAAGCGATGTTTGCAAATTCAAAATCTTTGATTTGATTCACAATAAAATTACAATTTTAACGTTTTTCGATTTGTGTATTTAAAAAAAGGTATTTATATGATTATTAAATTAACAACCCTCTAAATACATTGTAGTGTTTTTGAAAAAAATTGTTATTTTATACATACATATGTTAAATATATATATTTAATCAAATTTTCTCGCAAATTTTATGTAGACTCACATGTCAGCCCCCTGTTTGAAAGCCCTGCACCAATATTATAATTTTATATATCCAACTTGTTGAACTCTTGACACAGTTATTAAAGAAATACGTTAATCTTCCATTTGTATTTTTTTTCTGAGCTGCTATGAGCAACATTTCTGAGTTGCTGAATTGAACTGACACAGACTGTCTTTATTTCTTGATACAGTGCACTCTAAAGTTTAAATGGATAAATAAGACACCTGTGTCCAGACTCCAATGACAATATGTTGTACTCTTCATGATGCTGATGATACAAACAAATATTAGGTATTACGGAGGGATCTCTCTGTCTAACACCAGTGAAATATTCTGCTTGTTAAAATATATTATATGTAGCCTCCCACAGTGCTTATGAAAACTTTAAAAAAGGCACTCAATTAGACATGGTACAATGTCACTATATTCATTTTAACAGATAAATTCTTTAGATCTGCATCATTTCTCAGGTTTATAGACCATGTCCATGTGACAAGTCAACCATACATGTGACTCATTACTCTAAGTGATTCATGGGCAGCTCCATTTAAAATAGTCACAGGGTGTGACAATTTTACCTGCTCTCGTAACATGTAAGAGATGAAACCCAGAAGAAAATAGCCTCATAAATGAAGACAGCTCCCCTAATTTATGAGACAGTCAAAACTGATTATGATGTTATATTCATAACTTCATAAACATTCCCTGTCATCTTGTGTGTGTGTTATGTGAAATGGTGTTCTGTGACTTCAGCTCTGCGGACAACTGTAACTCATCCTTGGAGGCAAGGGGCTCTGGCGGCACCTCAAGTTCCCCTCAGGTTTAATTTCCAATACGTCAAATGTCTCCCAAAAGCATTTAACTTCTGAAAATGGTGGTTTTTCACCCTCAGCGCCACCCAAAATGTGACATCACAGTGACGAGGGACACCTTAGATGTGGGAGTCACTGAACAACAGGACCATCACCTCCTCCAACTGTCGCCACCACATATATAAGTGACTCTTGGCTCAGTTGCTATAGTTTTGACACAAGGAATTTTCAAGTAAAGTCATGGGAATCCTGCAGGTCGATGAACTGGTAGGCACTTCTAAATGTCTTTTTAAAAAGCATTGTTTTTTGTGTGCTTTTTATATAAAGTTTAATTTGATGCTTTTGGTACAAGATTCCAGTTTCTTTGCATCTCACATTCATCTCGGCTTCTAATAAATGCACTAACTTGGATGGGTTAAATGCAGAGGACAAATTTCGAATAT